CCTACTCCTCATTGCCCACCACCCCTCTTCCTCACTGCCTACCACCTCCCTCACTCCCTTTTCCCTTTATTTAACATTGAAAGTAGTACTGTAAATTTATGTAGTTATATTCAATAAAATGCACCTTCCTCTTCTGAATCCTACAGATAAATCTACTAAGTAAATATGTACTGTACCAATATCTTATAGTTGAAAAATATAGTTCAAAATTATATGAAATATATATCTTGGTAATATATTCTGATTCAAGGTTCTGAATATATAAAGTTTAAAGATATATCTTGGTAATATATCCTGGTTCAAGATCTAGTCAAAAGATATATCCTGGTTCAGGATATAGTTTCAAAATATATCTTGGTTCAGAATGTAGTGGGAAAATGCAAGATATAGTTGAAAAATAATGTCTCTTCATTCAGGATGTAGTTTCAAAATATATCTTGGTTCAGGATATTGTTGATAAATATATTCTGGTTCAGGATATAATTAAAATGTTTATGATATAGCTGAGAAATAATGTATCTGGACTCAGGATATAGCTGAAAAGTATATCTTGGTTCCTGATTTAGTCAAAAGATATATGTTGGTTCAAGATATAGCTGTAAAATATATTCTTCAGCAATGGATATATCCCAAATATATATGTTGCAGTAGTATTCATTCTGATGATTGAATATATACTCTCAAAATATGTACCTTCCAAGAAATATACATTCTCAGAATGCATACTTGATGGAGTTATTTGGAGTGGGATGTTGATTTGGTGTGGCATATTTCTGTGATACACTTAAAACCACACACATCAGTTGAGTAACAGCAAGCATAAAGGGAATCATGGAAAATACAAAGAAGAACCCCATATTACAACATGGTGAACAGAAATTGTTAGAGGACAATAATTTGTTGTCCATAAATTTACAATGAGAGTGAAAAGAAAAAGAGAGGGAGGGGGGAGAGGAAGAGAGGAAGAGGGGAATTGAGGAGGAGAAAGAGAGAAACAACAAAGAACTTTGTGAACTATGAGCAGCTAAAAAAATCTGTAACTTAGATGTGACTGGCTCAGCAACTTGAATGTACAGAAGCATGCTGTCCCCATGTAGGTGGTGTGATATGATGTACTGTGGAGTGAAGACAACAGCTCATGTTTGACAAGTAGGTAAGGTTGATGGGTATTAAGGTTGATGGGTATTTCAAGAGATGGTTCTCGCTAACGAAGAAATGTGGACACGAGAGAGTGCTGGCAAAAGATTGACTCGTGTAAGCAACATGATGTAGAAGTGGAGATGGGGCTGAGGAGAATCACACAAACAAATCATCATCCTTGTTTGTGAAAGTGGGTTGGGAGAGGTGTTTGATATTACATGTGGGGGTTTAACTAGCAGAGGATGGTAATACAGATGTTGGTGGGGTATGGAGATATGATGCTACTGGGGATCTTGGAGCTGAAGTGAGCAGTGCCAAACACCTATATGAAATGTAAACAAAGAGATATCTTGTGGACACAATATTTCACATATAGATTTAACAGCTTGGTCTGGCATAGGTGCCAGGTGGTGAAAACACTAGTGTTTGAAAGTCCGGTTCGGTCCGGTTTTTTGATGCCCAGGGGCGTTAACCGTAACCGTAACCGGTCTGCCTTTTCCCCAGAAGTCAAAAGACCAGACCGGACCACAAAAAGACCGCAGACCGCGGTTTTTTGCGGTCTATAGACCGGTTTCGGTCTGCATCAGTTTTAACCGGTTTATGACCGGTCTTTAGGCCAATATTTTAAAATTATGAATCGGTAAATTTATTAACATCTCTAATAGCTTCAAAACGAGCCCAAGAACGTTAAATTCCGTTAGGTATTGGTGCTTCTATAAAATAAGTCTGGTACATCTATTATTCCCAAAAGTAATTTACATTTTAATTCATATCTCTCTCATTTTTTTACCAAATCGTACGTTCTTGGGTGCGTTTTAAAGGGTATTTAAGGGGCTACAAAAAACCGGTCCAAACCGGTGAAGACCGGTTCACGTTAACCGGTCTTTTTGCGGTCTTTACATTTCAAAAATAAAAGACCATAACCGCAGGTCCGGTCTTTTGCGGTCTTGGTCCGGTCTGGTTACGGTCTTTTTCCAGTCACGAGACCGGACTTCCAAACACTAGAAAACACATTGAATCATACAGAAATGGCAGAGTAGACTTGCCAACCAAGCTGAGTATGCAGATAAGGTGCAACTGAAGAGAAAAGAAGAGAAAGATGAAAGAACTCTGTCAACTTGATGGTAATACAGATGTAGGTGGGGTATGCAGATAAGGTGCAACTGGAGAGAGAAGAAGAGAAAGATCAAAGAACTTTGTCAACTTGATGGTAATACAGATGTGGGTGGAGTATGCAACTAGAGAGAGAAGAAGAGAAAGATCAAAGAACTTTGTCAACTCAATGCTACCGAGATACTGGAAGCACAAGCCAGACATAGTGCCAAAACCTCTGGAAATCATTGCAGAATCTTCCAGAATATATACCCCAGACAGCAAAAAAAATCACAAGTTTTTTGCTGAAACTAGGACCCCTGACACCCCTACAGACCAGAAAAATATATCCTTACCACATCTGTTTCACAAAATATATCCTAAGGCCAAGCCAGGGCAAAAATATATTTCTAAGGTGTGACAGTGACATTTCAGGGTCCACTCACCAAAAATATATCCTTACTGCATTTTACTTGCAAAATATATTTTGGTGGTGTGACACAGACATTATAATTTTTGTGTGACATTTCAGGGTCCATGTGTTAAGAATATATTTTGGATTTCAGGGCTTTCTAGGACCCAGATATATATAGAATATAAATGTGGTCCATGACATTTAGTCATGTAACTTACGTGGAGTTTGCATGACTAATAGTCAGTTGGCACTGGGTGACTGAAGTGATCCAGTAGCGATGAGGATGAGACTCACTGGGCAAATGCGACATCTCAATTCCAGGAAGGCCTTGATCCTGAAGATTTGTAAGGAGTTTCCTCTCGCCTCCAGAATTCGAAGAGCGTTAACACATGCCAATTTTTTAGAAATACCATTGGGGGTGCGGGGCAGCTTGCTGCCGCACAAAATATCCAGCACGCTTTGGGGGAGATGATCCAGCGTATGTGAGTGAATTGACTGCCTTCTAATTAGCGACGCTCAGAAAAGAATCTATTGAAAGGACCGATACGCCTAAGAGCAGCAATCCTGTCAGGTTGTAAAGTTAGCCTTCTTCTCTGCCCCGCCTCAATTAAGCTCTTTTGTCAGACTGGACCAATCGGGGATTCCTGCAGGATACGCATCGACCTCGACACCGGCACCGCTATCTCGCAGAGTGGCTTCCCACACGCCAATCTCTACTTCATATCCACCCAGCCAAGCACCAGCACCTTCCCGGTATGTAAAATCCTGTAGAAGAAGCATGGGACCTGAACGTCATTTTTTTCGAATCAGTAAAAAAGCATCGGCTGTTATGAACTTGCTGGCAAACCATGCCAACAGAACACAACCAAAGCCCATAAAGCAACAACAACAAGGGGATTCACAAGCAAGACTTCGCCGGCATGTTTTTCTCCTCCTACGAGTGGGACTCACCATCTAATTCAGCCGATTGAAGATTCAAGGCAGCGTCCTCATTAGTTCCAGCTGCCCCGATTGCACCCGCAGCCGCTCCCTCCAGCTCGTCAGCTCCCCCTGTGACTGTGGAGATCGAGGTTGTAACCGACCAAGTGCGCAC